AAATGCAAGGGAATGCCCGGAAGCTTGGCACTCAGACAAATCAGCCATCGATAGACACATAGAGATAAACAGCATCTACACACTATTCAAAAAAGGCAATAAAAAAGCTAAGAAGGAAACAAAAAGACCAGCACACATCCTCCCCAGCAACCAAAACCCAGATAAGCAGGGACTGACGCCAGACAAACAAGCAGAAAACAATCAAGGAACTACCAAGGAGAAAACCACACTCCACCAACACGGGCAGGCCATGCTACTGTACTGTATGTAAACGGAGCAAACCCCACTCCATTCTAGCACTGAAGATGTTACCTAGTCGGGTAATGAAGTGAATAAAGTATCAGTACTGAGTTACAATTAGAACAACCTCAAGGCCAGAGCAAAGGCGGCACAATAGCTTTGTCATAAAAGGAGGCGCTCACCGCTCACAACGGACGCACTTCCAAGGCCCTCCGTAATGGCCCTGTTCTTGTGGCTTTCTGGAAATTCAACAGGGTGGGTGTCTCTTGGTGTGGGCGTGTGGATTTCTCTCTTTCTAATGTGTAAGTTGCTGTTCCAAAGAAGGAGGTGGGAGAGAGGAGGCTCGTTCCCACGGTCCCTGCAAACAGCCCTGCAAACCTCCAGGTTTTACTGGCCAGGCAGAAGTCACTGAGAAGAGGCGACTGCAGAGGTACCCAGGTCCCAGGCCATGAAGGGCTTCAAAGCTCATGAGTAGCCCCTGTTTGTAGCAGTCTTTCCGGTATGCATTTTTCTCTCATCCACAACCTCTTTCACTTAATCACGTCATCAAGAAAACCCCTTTCAGACTTCTCTTTAGTCCCACAGAGAATTGTGGCCCTCTGTAGCAGGGTGATTTCATGGTTCTTGGCAGCTTCCACATCCTTTTTCCTTACTTTTTCTTCCATTTATTTTGTTTGGAGAGTATTCTGTCTTCTAATACTTCTTCCTACAGGACTCATAGCTTTTTTTTCAATCCTATTTTCATGTTCATTTCTTTCACTTCTTCCTTTTTCTTCCCAAGATCCATTGATGACACTGAAAAAAACGTTCCATTCAGACCCTCTGGTCACGCTTGCGTCCGTCACTGATCCCCTCCATCTTTCATCAGAAGCAGTCGGACCAATCGTGCTTTTAGACTTACGGTCCTTCCTTTGCCGTGCGCACAGGAGTTGACCTGCGTGTAAGTCACCTATTGGCAACAGACCTCCTCCTACGTGGACGTTCCCCAAACAGCCTTCTCGTGAATTCTCGGGCCTGCGAATGGCTCGGCCGCTGCTTCTGGGCGCCCTCGCCGCCTCCCGCCCGGCCGCTCGTGTGGCGTGGCGTACCGGGAGAGTTTCCCCCCGAGCCTCGCTCGTTCAGGACGCTTCACAGCGTTCTTCCAAACTCACCTCTGGTTCTCCCACTGTCACCACAGCGCAGCGTGCAACCCACGGAGTCCTGCTTCGATACCTAGCCGTGGCAACCCAGATGGCTCCAGTTCGTTCTTTCTGACATAAGTGTTAGTTCTTCTGCTTATT